AGGTTTGCACCGTGTAAAACTGGGTGTGGGGTATACACCTGTAATTCTAGCACCTAGGAGGCAGACGCAGGAGGATCAGAAGTTCAAGGTCATCCTCTCCTAGGTTACATAGAGAGCTTGGGGCCATCTTGGGCTTCCCGAGACCCTATCTCAAAACAAGTAAACCCAAACATAATTTCCTCCTATGATTGTGTTGTATATGACTGTTGAATGTCAGCCTGCCCCCAAACATAGAAGGTTCTAGATCTGGAGCTGCTTACTTATTTCCTCACTAGCCTGTTCCATAAATATTTGTTGGTAAATGTTCCCCTTCCTCTTGAGGGCTCCTTTGCCAGCTGGTCCCCTTCTAGTGGTCATTAGCTGTTGCTGTCTCTCAGGGCTCTACCCTAGACTCCCTCCTATTGTGCTCTGTCCCCAAGCCATCATACCCATGCAGGCCCACAATTTCAGTGTCCAGGATGACACTGTGTATATGCTTTGAACCCCGAGGTCCCCTCTGACTGAACACCTGCATTTCCAAGGACCCTGGCATCCTCCCTGAATACCTCAAGGCAAATTCCATGTTGTACCCACAGTTTCTTCTGTAAAGCTGAGTTAGGAATGGGCTACCTATCCCAGGAGACACAGTCTATCAAGGTCCAGCCAGGCAGGACAGCCTGTGAGCCTCCCTTATCTATCATTCTCTCTATATACCCTAGCAGTACTCCCAAGGCTATCCTTAAACATTATTTCATGCCATCGGTCTTTCTTCACTCTACTTGCCATCCCTGCCTCATCTCCAGCTCACTCCTGAGCTGATTCCAAGGTGTTCTCCAGGCAGTAGCCAACATGGTATTTAGAAGACAAGTCTGATCCTTGAGACCCCTTAGTGGTTTCTTATCACTTTAAGGATGGAGCTGGGCTCCCCTGTGGTCCTTCAGGCCCTCCCTGAGATATTCCTTGGGCCCTGGAAAGAGGAAAGAGACTCAGTCTGCCGCAGGGTGACCTGGACAACACAGACCTTACCCTGGAATCTGAGCTGACTCGGAACTTAGCAACCTTACAACAATCTCTTTGTACAGGATCTGGCTCTTCAGAAAACTTTTGTCTTTATAGATCTAGAACAGTCCTGGCCCGGAACTAGGATCCCTACTGGAACCTCAGTGACTCACTCACATTCTGTCCTCAAGGCTTGTGCAGGTTTCTCGGTATAAGGGTACTGACCCCTGACAGCAGTCATTCTCCACTGGAGATTGTTAAATTCTGAGCCAGCTCAGATTCTAGAGCAAGGGCTGTGTTGTCCAGGTCACCCTGCGGCAGACTCTGGGACTTTCCACTTTCACCATTCCAGAGCCTATCTCAGCTGCAGTTCCTGTGTGATTGCCCAGAAACAGGAACGGGCTCCAGCTCCTCAAACAGAATCCAGCACCTTGGTCCTCTGAGGCTGTCCCTGTTCTGACTTCCTCTCTTCCCTCCTAGTTTGTAGGCCTTTCTGCTCACTCCTATGTCAGGACACTGCCCTGTCTTCTGCAGAGCCTTCCCACCTTCTGAGAGCAAAGCAGAGTTCCTGAAACTTCCAGGGCTGATCTGATACTGATTTCAACCTAACTGTGCTGGCCTTTCAGCCTCTTTGTCCTCAAACTCCCAAGGCATACTGGCCTAGGCCTTCTTCTTGGAACTCTCTCCCCAGTATGAGCTGAAGTTGTCTGAACAAACTGCATCTGTATTAAAGATCTTGTGAAGCATTTCATGTTAGTTGACTAGAACATCACAAATGTAGAGGGAGGAAAAAGTTATAGATTGGGAATCAAATTAGCAGGGTGTGGTGGCACATACCTATAATCTCAGGTGGAGGAAGGAAGATTTAGAGTTTGGGTGACACTGTGAGATGCTGGCTCAAAAAACAAATGAACAAATACATGCATTAATAATAAAAAGAACTAAAATGATCTTGGGCAATCTTCAGTCCTTTCAAGTAGCCATTTATTGTTTCTGACCTAATATTCACTTCATTTTTGATAAAACTCTTGGAATATATTGATAATTTTAACCTAGCCTCCATGAAAAAGCTAAGAACATGATAAAGGCTACGACTAAATCCCATTAACTTCCCAGACCTTACCGTAGCCCACCTATGTGATAACCCCACCTATGTACTTGATTCATGATTTCTTTTCTGAATAGAAAGAGTCATATAACCTTTCCTGTGGTGAACATGTCATTCAGGGTAACATAATCTGTATTCTAGGGCCACGATGGTACATATTTGGCTCAGAATAAACTATGCTCCTATTTCCTTAAAGCAAAGCTGGCATTTTGCAACAACACTCCCTCTCTCACTTCCCCAGACATTTATTTGCTCAGAGGCCTCTTCTCAGCCCTGCTCTTTTCTTTTTAGCAGTGTCACCATGCAACACTGTAACAGGGCATATATTCTACTTAGTATCTGTTTTTTTTCAGTGTTCAAGATCAAAACCAGGGCCTTGCATAAACACAGAAGGCAAGCACTCCATCAACTGAGCTACACCTCCAGCCTTTTGCTTTTTTAGACAAGGTCTTACTATGTAGCCCAGGCTGACTCTGAATTCCCTGTTACCCAGTCTGTACTTGAACTGCTGATTTCCCTGTCTCTGACTCCCTGAGTGCTGGACTGAGGTATGTTCCACCATATATACCTGGCTATTTATTACACTGCTTTCCCTCTCTCCCAGCTACAATGCTAGCTTCATGAAGGTGTTGAGACTTTGAGAAAGATCCTCCTCAACGTGACTTTTTTTTTTTTTTTAATGCTGAGCAACTTGATTTAAGGGAAATTAAAGGCTTTCAACCCAAGCTCAAACTCAGAATCAAGGTCCTCCACCCATCCACACTCAAGGAAAGGATCTCTGGAATTCCTGTTATCTGCAGGAAAACTAGATTGCATTAGAGAGGACAAAGGTGCCTTCCATCCCCGCCTGGAAGCCCATTATCTATCTCAGCAAAGAAGGCTGAGAACCATAACCACTTTCCTTATAAGATAAGAGCTGTCCCTTGGGCCCATTCAAACTCCAAAAAGAATCTTTATGCAAGCTAATTTCTGTCTCAGGCCCATTCCATGGTAATGTCTGACAATCCTTCAAATACCACTGCATTCTCCACCTTTCTGTATCCTATAGGAAGAGGGGTATACGTGCCTCTGAATTCATCAGGGCTAGCAGGTGAATGTGCTGCACATGAGGAATGTTTGATACTTCTCCTATTTAGTGTTTTCGTTAGAGTGTTTCAGTGAACCTTTTTCATTTCTGAACCCCCTGGACCTCCAACAGTACCTGCTCCATAAGCCTGTGTTCCAGAAATGAGTGAACTTTTCTGCCTTTCCTGGGTTTCGGCTGCATGCAGACATGACGGCTAAGCACATGTCCTCAAGGCCAGGGCTCTGTCCCAAATATTTTGGAAAATGGTCCTTTTCTACCTGCCCATAACCTCGTAGCATGCTCCTACCCCAAGCCTGCCCCCATCATAGTCATTCTGGGGTCTTGATCACACTTTTTGGTGTCTTCCCAGGCTAAACCAGGTGTCTGTGCATTCTTGTGGTCATTGTTACTCTATGCCACTGAGCACTGAGGTTATTATTACTATGCTCTGTAATTCCAGTTGTAATTGGCAGCCTGCTGAGGCCTCAGTTGACTTGGATGATGTGTGACCATTTTCATCTGCAGGGCTGCCTTGGGAAAGCATGAGCAGGTGGGTTTGTCAAGGGGCAGAAGTACTCAGCAGTGTTCTCCCTCTCAACTGGCTCACTAAGTAGCTTATGGAATAATAGCAGAGGTGCTAGAAGGGGAAACTGTACTGTTTGAAAGAATTTTCTAGTACCTCTCCTAGCCCAGGGCCTGTCCAGGGTAGTGGAGCTAAGAGACTCCACATAGAAAGTCCAGTCGAGTCTCTGATTAAAAACAACCTATCCTTGGGCTGGAGAGATGGCTCAGCGGTTAAGAACACTGACTGTTCTTGCAGAAGACCTGAGTTCGAATCCCAGTTCCCACATGGCAGCTAACAACTGTCCATAACTCCAGTTGCAGGGGATCCGAAAGCCTCTTCTGTCCTCTGCAGGCATTGCATGACACAGGTGTACTTACCTACATGCACACATACACATAAAATAAAAATAATTAAAATATTAAAAAAAAAAAAACCTATCTCTGCCCTTCAGTCATGGTCTTTCCTTGGTGACTATGAGTCAGCAGTCTTTCACCCCACTTCCTTGAGTCCCTACCATGCAATGTGCCAACTTTCTTCATCTCCCTAAAACATCTTCACAGTTTCCCCATGATTGGTACTGAGACCTTTGGGACCCAGGCCTCCTGCTAGCCCTGTCCCCCCCACTCCCTGAGCATAGCAGACATCTTGGTGCCCCCAGGCTTTTGCTAAGAGGTTGTGTTATATCATGTGCCACTCCTCCCCACCTCCACACACTAAGAGTAAGAGAAAGTACCTCAGAGATATTGGAGCATTTTTGTAAGCCTCCTTAAGAGGGGGCCCTCCCTAGGAGCTGAGTGCCAGCCTTGGGGAAGCCTGAATGCTGTTTTTCTGCTCAGACAGTGGGAACTATTTTTCTAGTCAGGGAAATTCTCCATAAGGGCCAACATCAGTCCCTTGATAGTCAACTGAACACAAGGACCAGCTGAGAAGGAGGCAACAGGAGGCCAGTCAGGAGCTAAGCCTTGAATCAGCATAGGTGCCGGTACCCGAGCAGTCACAAAGTCTAATCGTTGCCTTCCTGCCTGCATCAGAGAAAGCAGAAAGAGGAGCCAGTGCCTGGGGACTGTACTCTCTGCTCTGATATAAACATTCGGACCAAAAAGAATGTGTGTGGCATCTTAACACAACGGCATCTAGGTGGGCAATGCCTGATGCAAAAGATAAAGCATTCTGCCCCCTCTGCACACAGTGCTTGCCCACCCTGACCACACAGTTCATGCCACCCTGAGCACAGACACAGAGACAAGAAACGAGGGAATTAGTTGGCAGAGCTGTCCAAATACCCATTTTTCCTCTCTTTCCATTTGCTCCTTTGTCGCCTTTTGGACCCTGGGGACCATGCTGTCCATCTGATCCATTGTGTCCTGGTAAACCACCAACGCCTGGGGGTCCTGTGTCAAAGCACAGAAACAAGAACAGTTAAAAAAAATGTGATTTCCTCAGAGACCCACAAATAGTCAATGAGGAGAGAATAAGAGACTACAGAGCGCTCAGTCCTAAATGGGACACCCATATAACACCCTCTCCTCCCAGGGCTCCGGGATCATTGTGGATGGGAGGGCAGAAAGATTATAAGAGCCAGAGGTGAAAGATGAATACAAGAAAACTGTGTTGTCTGGACACTACAGGGTCGTTGCACATATGAACCCATAGCACTTATGACAGCGTGCACAAGACCTGTGCAAACACAAGCCAGACAGAGGCCCAGCATGGATGGGAAGGAGGGCAGGGAGCCCCATTGGCATGATGGATGACAGGAGAGGGATAATTAGTTTCCCTTACTGGACACCTGGTAAGTTGACCAGACTCCAGGGGATAGACCCACACCCAAGAGCACTCAGGAAACACAGATTAGATTCAATAGGCCTTAAAATAAAAGATGAATAATAGAGAACACGAAGTTGAGGAAGGAGAGGGAAGAGGGGGGTCTGAGTATGATCAAAATAATACACTGTCTGAAGTTCTTGGATCAAAAATATTTTTAAAGTGTGATTTCTTCTAGTCAGTGAGATAGCTGGCATCCACACCCTTCCCGTTCTCTCCTGCCTTTTTTCACCTTTCTTCTGGAACCAGGACAGGTGGAGGGACTGGTGAGGACAGTCTCAACTGACAGCCACAGAGAAGGGTGTGGATGTAGCCAGGACACCGTCTCACTCCTCCCCTCTACCATCTCTAGCCCTCAGATCCTGGGGCTCCAGCCATACATAGCCTCCCCTTGAATTAGGAAAGTCCTAAATAGGTACTTACCTGGTGGGCCTGGTGGTCCTATAAGAGAAAAAGAAATTTAGATGATAAACCACAAGTAGAAAAAAGAAAAAAACAGCACCGCAGACCCCCTCCCTGCTTAAAATGCCTCAGTCACTTGTTGAAAATCAATCCCACATCTCTCACTCTCAGCTTGTTATGTTTGTCCCAGAAAGCCTGCAAAATGGACCATTTGCTAAGCAAACCACTTTTGTTTATATTTCAACAGACCTAGAATAATTTCTGAGCTGGTTTCCCTATAGATTTGTACACTAAACACAGGGGAGAGGTCAAACTAATTCACTTCAGGCCAGTGGCAATGCAGATGGCCCTGTGCAGCCTCAGCCGAGGGCAAGTGTAGCACATGGAGGTGCTATCACTTCAGGGTGGAATGCTGGCTGTCACCAGAGCAGTCCCACGTGCTGTCTTTCAGACAGTGTGTCTCCTCTGGGCCACTGAGTAATAACACAAGAATGTGCTGGAAATCTGTATTTTGTTGCATGAAATAGCCTGAGAAAATCTGAGCGCTCGGGTCAGGTAGCAAATACCTTCTTTGGTGTGAAATGATCCAAGGACCTAAGCAATTTGAATGAATCATTTAAATAGAACTGAACAAATGGTTTTGCTTTCAGAATTAGGCATGTCTTATTGTGACCTAGGCTATTTGAGCACTCTGGCAAACCAATGAGGCTGGAACGTGAGCGGCTGAGTTTTTGCGGCTGAGGTTTTAGATTTCCCAATCTAAGCCTGTGACCATTCAAACAGCAAGCATTTCTAAATACATTTTATGTACACCAAATTCTAGCAAGAAATTTCAAACCTTATGTTTTCTATGTTCACAGTCTATGTGGGAAAGGTGGATTGGGAAGTAAAGCACATCCAAGCTTAAGAGCGCCCCAAGAGGCCTCCGCTGGCACTCTCTTCTTGGGGACCTTGGTGCCTGTGATGAGATGAGGGAAGCATGAGATGGCAGCAGCCTGGTGCTCCGGATCACCAGAGGGAGCAGAACTTCCTGGTAGGGTCGCCCAAACACCACTGGATTTTGTGAAGAGAGAAATAAACTTTTGGTGTGTTAAGTCAATGAAGTTTTACTGCCTGTTACCAAAACATGACCTGATCTTCACTGACAGATATACGCCTCTACCTTTCTAATGATTTGGGACGCCCCACATTGTGTTTTTTCTCTAGCAGTCGGGTCCTACTAGCAGCCAGCAGAAGAATCTTAACTGAGGCAAGAAATACAGGTGTCACAGTTCTGGGAAATAGTAAAAAAGAAGTATAGCCTCAAGAGTGGGCACTGGCCAAGGGTCCTGGAATGCCTGACCACCTGGCTCCTCCACTCCGGTCATTTCAAATCAAGGGGAAGAAAATTGCCCTCATGCATCTGTAACTTTCCCCTAGAAGCCTCCCTGTTTACCCATGAATGGTGCCTGACCCAAGGCACCTGTAAGCACAGCAATAATCACAGGGAAAGTACCTGCACATTTCCCAAAGTCCAATTTAGAAGAATTAAGCCATCACACTCAGCAGAAACACCTCAGAAGGTGAGGCCCGAGTCTGCTGTTTTAGAGAGCTAGAGAGAGACGTAGCTCCACAGACCAGACCTGGAAACCAGGCCCGGAGGTCTGCAACCCTGACTCTCTCTCCTATTCCCCAGCAAGAATTCCCTGGGGTACGGCTTTCCTGCCTGCTGACCCACTCCCCAGCTCCCATGTACACATTTTAAAAAATGTCTCTAGTATAAAGTTAGGCCTTGCTCTGGGGCCCAAACCCAATTTGACACTGGATGACCTTTTTGCTTAGCATCTTTGTTGGTCTCTGGACCAAGACTCTGCTCATTCCTGAAGTTGTCTAAATTCAGTCCTGGGTCCTGTTGTTCACCCTTCTGCCCCACCCCCAATCTACACAGCAGTGGTCTATCCCAAAGCACCCACTTGCTTTGTAACTTATACTTTTCACACCTAAGTTTTAATTGAAGAGCTTTCTGTGTAAAGGAGACCCAATTTCAAGCTAGCATGAAAGAAGAAAGTGTTGGCTTTTGAAAAGTGTGTTCTGAGGTGAGAAAGAATCACCTACTCAACCCATTTCCACCATGGATGCAATCCCCGCTCTCCGTCACTCTCCCTTAAGTGGTCTCAATAGCTCCATCCTGTGCATTCACTGTGAGCCTGACTTCCAGGTCTGTCACTATAAAAATCAGAAAGAGGCTTTTTCTGTGCCTCTCAACAAGGCTTTTGTGCCTGTCACTCCATCCATTTGAGCATTTCTTTAGCACTCATTACTGTCACATGCGGGAGCTCTGAAGAGGGACTTCCACAGATGGAAGGAAGGCGCTTAAGCCATAAGAGTTTCAGGACAAAGGACTAGGCTGTTCTGAAGATAGTTAATTTTCTATGAGGACTGAATGTGACTTGAGTAATTCAATTAGCATTTCCCAAGAAGCCACAGGATTACAGTTTTTCTCTCTGAGGCCAAAATAAGGGGAAAGAGCCTTAGGATCGAGGTTCCTGGGGAAGCTTACCACCTTTATTTACTCACTCATATGAGCTACAAGTGTATTCTTTTGACAAACTCCCAAGTAATAAAAGTAACTAGGGAGAATGCTGCAGAAAATGGCCAGGTTCCTGACAGTCAGGTACAGACTTTGTAGGGCCCCTCTACCCTGTGAAATACTGAGTTGTCTCCCCAGAACCTGGGAACAGAAGCCCGTGAGTCCCAAGAGAAGCTTCAGCTGGTTTCAAGGTCTTGTGGCTAAAGTCCAAGGAATGTGTGTCTACTCCACAGAATATTGCTTAATGTAAATGTAAGTTCCCTGTCTCTTCAGAATGCTATTCTTCTCTGGAGGGGCAAGGAATACAGCATCTAGAGTCAGGCTCTATCAGACTGACCAGAGTGTCGCTTGGTTTATGGAGCTGCGAAGATGATTGCTGTGAATCTGCCATTATCTTCTGAAAGCCCTCACCTTCACAAGGCTTGCCCTTGAGTCGAGAAGCAGGCTTCTATCAGGCTCACATAGAGAAAACCATCTCAAAGCCATATCTTTGCTGGGTATGGTGGCATACACCTGTAACCCCCAGCACTCAGGAGGCCATGGAAGGAGGACTGCCACAAGTTTGAGGCTAATCTGATCTACACAGCAAGATCCTATCTTGAAAACAAACAAAACCAATCAACCAAACACACCAACCATACATATATATACACATATATGTATATATATCTTTCCATCAGATTTTCATTGACTCAAGATTTGCATGTAGAATGCAGCCCAGAAGAAATGCTTCATTCAGCAGTAAAGTGCCTGCCTTGCAAGCCCGATGACCTGCATTTGATCCTTGGAACACACATCAAGGTGGAAGGACAGAACTGACTACACAAAGCTGTCCTTTGACTTCCACATGTAACTCCTGGCATGTATGTGCCCTATCCCTACACCATACGCAGACACAATAATAATCAATAAATAATTGAAAGTAATACTTCTTGACTACTTAGCAGTTTGCTTCCAGAGCTTCCCGTTCACACTACATATATGACATAGGCAAATAATCACATCTGATAAGAGATGTACTTGTCATATAAAGGAACTGTGCCACTTTAGTAAGTTCTCTCCCCTTATTTTTTTTCCCTTTAAAACTAATGGGAATGAGGAAAATATCTTTGGCTTTAGTTCAGGGTGACACACATTGCTAATTACCCAAGCCCAAGTTCCATGGTTATATTTCTATGACAATACCAGAAAATAATATTTTTCATAATTCCATTATAGTTGGTTTTATTCCCATTAAAAACATCTGGTAAAAGTAAGGAAACACATTTTTTATAACAAAGTACTCATAGGTGCATTCTGCCACTGGACCTTTGGCTAGTGCAAGTGTTACATGTAGCTCTCTGGTTGATAGTGGCAAACCTACCTGTCAGGCAGATGCCTTTGGTGCTGTTGCACAGGTCCACCATCACTCGGATCTGTGAAGAGAGAAGGTGGTTAACTGCAAACAGAAGACAGTGGGCCCTGAACTTTTATTCAGACAAGTAGAAATCAGCTACAGAAATCCCATCGACAACTTCAGGAGACTGTACAAGTCTTAGGAAAACACTGAAAACCGAAGAGCTGGGTGTGGTGGTACAGGGCTGTAATTCCAGCTATTCCCAAGGCTGAGGCAAGAGAGGTGGCAACTTCAAGGTCTTTCTTGGGCTTCAGAGTGAGTTCAAGGCCAGTTTGGTCAACTTTTGGACATCTTATCTCAAAAGATCCAATAGCTGGGGATGTAGTTGAGTGGTACAGTGTTTGCTTAGCATGCACAAGGCCCTGTGGTCAGTCCTTAGTATGACAACAAACCGCAAAGAAACCCTTAAACAATCTTAATTGTAATTGATATGAGTACCTATCAACAGAATCCCCTTGATTTCCCTTAGCCTCTGAAAAGACAGAGGGACACATTGGGGAATGACCAAATCCAGTTTTTACCACTGTAGTGAGCTGATGTCCAGCATCTGAAAGGCTCAATGTGTGAGCCTGAAAAAAGAGCTTGGTGGTCAAGAGTGAGTACTCACTAACCAGGTGGGCAAACACCTTTCAACATGCTAGTAAGACAATCTAAGCACCTGCCTTGAGGGTTGAGCCAGCAACCAACCATCCCTGGCATGTGAAAAGCACCCCTAGCTGTCAGTGATCCTCAGGCCGGTGGACCACTGACTCACTGGATAGCCGCCAGTGAACTGGATCTCTGGTTCCCTATGAACTGCTCTCCTCCCATCCTCTGCCCTGTTCCCCAGAACCAAGTCTAATCATATCAAACCCACAGGTTGAAAGGTGAATGTTAAAATACAGAGCACAGGGTAGCATCATAACACACTTTGTCTAGGTAAAGCAGTGGCTTCATTTGCTTCTCCACTTATGATTTTAAGATTCTCTTTTTCTTTGTTTTTCTATGATCAATATGTCTGGACACGGAACTTGAAAAAAAGAAAAAAGAAAGAAAAAATAAAAAATAAAAATAAAAACCCCTCAAGTGATAGGGAGATGGAGGACCAGGTAGAAGGAACATACTAAGCTCAATATGTCATTTAACATTTTCACTGATTACTCTTTCATTTAAACTACTTTTGTTATTTTTATTCTTATTTATATGTATGTATGCATGCCTGTGTGAGTTTATGTACAACATGTACTGGTGGCAGAGGAGGCCGGAGGGACTAAAGTTGCAGGCAGTTGTGAGCTGTTTGGTATGGGTGCTGGGAACCCAACATGGGTCCTCTGCAAGAGCATTAAGTGCTCTTAACCCCTGATCCATCTCTCCAGCCCCTAAACTACTTTCTAAAAAATATAATGTTTTGGGTTGGAGAGATGACTCAGCAGTTAAGAGCACTTTCTGTTCTTGCAGATGACCTGAGTTTAGGTTGCAGCACCCACACCCAACACAACTGCCTGTAATTACAATTTCAGGGGATCTGACACCCTCTTCTGGCCTCTGAGGCCACCTGCACTCATGTAGCATTCCTTCACACTTACACATACACATAATTAAAAATTAAAAAGATAAATTTTTTAAAAATATTGTGTTTTGCTAGGTGTGGTGGTGCACATCTTTAATTTTAGCACTTGGGAGGCAGAGGCAGGTGATCTCAGATCAAAGCCAGCCTAGTCTACATGAGTTTCTGGCCAGCTGGGGATACAAGGAGACCCTGTCTGAGGAAAAAAATAGGGATTAGGTTTTTTTTGTTTTTGAGACAGGGTCTCCTTGTAGCCTCAGCTGTCCTGGAACTCACTATGTAGACCAGGATGGCCTGGAACTCACTATGTAGACCAGGCTGGCCTGGAACTCACATAGATCTGCCTGCCTCTGCCTCCCAAGTGCTGGGATTAAAGGTGTGTGCCACCATGCCCAGCTAGGGATTAGTTTTTAAAATTTTTATTTATTATTTTTATTTTATGTGTATGAATGTATTGTCTGCATGTAAGTCCAGTCATGTCATGAAATGCCTGCAGAGACAGAAGAGGGCATCGGATCCCTTGGAACTGGAGTTGCAGGTGGTTGTTAGGTGCCAGTAGGTCCTGGGAACCAAACTTGGGTCCTCTGCAAAAGGGGCCAGTGCTCTTAACCATTGAGCCATCTCTCCAGCTTGAGGGGATGTGATTTAGATTCTTGTCTAGGGCTGTTTTGTTTGCTAGGAGATCCAAAGGGAAACTCATCCTGTACTTTTTGTGCTAACAATATTTATTGACTGCTATAGAAACTTTTAATGCATCTAATATATACCACAAACATACATAAATATAGTATAAATGAATGATACAAGAAGCACAAGTTGTGGGTCCTCTTTATCTGAGATTCTGCACCACAGACAAACCAAATTGCAGGTTGAAAGGAATCACGTTTGTACTAAACATGACCAGACTTTTTTCTTGTCATTATTCTCTATACTGCATAAACAATACTGTACCACAGCTATGTGCATGGCATTTATACTGTATTAGATATTATACACAATCTAAAGGTGATTTAAAGTATACAAGGAGATATGTACAGGTTACATTCAAATACTATACTATTTTATATAAGGGATGTGAGGTAACATACTACTTGAGCTTAAGACCTGGACACTTACCCATGCCCCATAAACATCTCAGGTACCTCCTCTGCCCAACAACTCTCTGAACTGAAGGATATTGGGCAGTGTTAGTGTCCACCTGTGCCATCATGTACTCAAGGACACACAGTTTGCTCGTAGATGCGCGAGGCTCAGCTCCAGGATTCCTGATTCTAGGCCCACTGTACTCTATGTTATGGCTTTGATAATTATGTTAACATAACCAGACAGAAAAAAAAAGTGGATTCACTGCATTTTAGCTATTTTCATAAATGAATGTAATCAGCTGCATCATGACAAAATTTATTGTCTTTAAAAAATATATAATTGCCCTTTGAGAGGACCAGAAAAGACTTCACAATGCTTCATTTGTTGCCTGGGGGATCACAGCAGACGCTCTAGTTTGAAACAACTGAGCATCAATAGGGAAAATGAGCCTTTCTCTCCGATACTTGTCACTGGTCTGGGACTGGCACAACTAGAACTATGGGGAGAGAGTTTGTATTTCCCAACCTGTTGGCTTTATTTATCCGCTAAATGTCAATTTAGGTATTTTACAGGAAATTAATTCCAATCTTCTCTTAGGAATATTCCCTTAACAAACTCAGGCACCGTAACGCTATATTGAAATAGGCTGTATGAAAATGTGTGGGCAGGGGGCTAGAGAGATGGCTCAGTGGTTAAGAGCACTGACTGCTCTTGCAGAGAGCCATGTGGTTCGATCCCAGCACCCACATGGCGGCTAACAACGGTCTGTAACTCCAGTTCCAGAGGATCTGACACCTTCTTCTGACCTCCATGGGCATTGTACTACATGGGTGCACTTATACACATGCAGACAATACACTCATATACATAAAAATAAAAATAAAATATTAAAAGAAAAAAGAAAAACTGTGGGCAGAAAGCCAAAAATGATTTTGTCCTCCTCTGATCAGAGTAATTAAGAATTTGGTTGAAAATTTAAAAATTGAGAATCAGAAGTCACAAAAGTTAGATCATCAGATTAAAGAATCACAGTAGTATGGAGAGCTTCTTAGGCTTTGATTTAGGCATTGAAGATGTTGAAGCTGGAGGAGGCCTCTGTGATCATTGCCCACCAGTCACACTTCTGTTGCTCTGTTCCAGTCAGTGTCCCTCGTTGGTCCCACTGAAGACTCAGTCAGGCTTTGTCTAATTCCTAGCTTTGAGAAGCCCAGGCCCCATGGCTCCAGCTGGCTTTTATTTTAATAGCACTTATTATTATGCACTAGTATCTGGCTTATGGATTTAGTCATCATATACCCCTGGTAGGAAAAGTATACAAGGTTAACTGGATGGGAACACTCATCACAACATGGTTTGTGTGGTTAAGCCAGGTAGACAAATAATCATTGATAAGAGACCTGTTAAAAAGATGTGGTGGATCTGTGTGGATTTTCTGGAAAGGTGGCCTTGGCATGCTGTTAAAAGCCCAAGTCACACAACACAATAGGCCCATCATGGTTTCTTTGAAGTTCTGCATGCCCAGCTTCTAGTGACTCAGTGGAACACAGTTTAAAGCTAACTTAGGGGCTGGAGTTGTAGGTCCATTGGAGGAGTGCTTGCCAATCAGGCAGGAGGCCCTGGGTTCCAGTCCAGCACTGGAGATGATAAACCAGGCTGGAGTGTGCCCCAGTTCCAGCACCCTGGACTACATGAGACTCTGTCTCAAAAAAAGAAAACAAAAAAAGCTAGCTTAGATTCTATGTCTCTTTAACAAAGAATGCTCCTTATGACTGTCCTTAATTATGTAAATTACTATTATTATGTATATACAAATGCTCTCACCAGCAAAAGCTCCCAGAATCTGGTAATTATTAGTTTGCCATTAACTAAGATTCCTTGGGCTAGAGACAAAAGGCTATGAATGAGGTGGCTCAGCTGTTTGTCACTGAAGGGTCAGACCACAGATGCTGGAGGACTCCCTCATGGGGGTCTGAAGCTGGGGTCAGTTACCCTGGACTCATCCCTAAGAAAGGCAGGCTCTTGCACTTGGCATGGTGTGAAAGCAATCTGTGGTCCCCAATGGGTACATGCAGTTTGCCTTCATTTAAAAAAAGCTTTTTAGGGGCTGGAGAGATGGCTCAACCGTTAAGAGCACTGACTGCTCTTGCAGAGGACCTGGGTTTGATTCCCAGCACCCACATGGTGGCTACGAAACGTCCTTAACTCCACATCCAGGGGAATCTGAAGCTCTCTTCTGACTTCCATGGTAATGCACAGCACGGGTCCACTCACACACATGCAGGCAATACACTCATACACATAAAATAAAAATAATAAATAAAATATTTTTTTAAAAAAAGCTTTTTAGAGACCCAAGCCCAACCACCCATACCACTTAACCAAAACTT